TCAACCTTATATATTCTCAGGATCTGAACAGTTACAATCATCTTTGCATGATATTAAAACCCAAATTGAATGCTGTACTGGACTGAAATTAGCTCATCTTAATGCATGTAGTCTATATCCTAAAATAGATGAAATACAATTTATTCTCATAACACTTGATCTGGATATCTTATGTATATCTGAAACTTGGCTCCACGATCAAATCAAAGATCAAATGGTTTCAGTGGAAGGCTATGATATTATAAGAAAAGATAGGATAAACAAAAGAGGAGGTGGTGTTTGTCTTTATATTAAAAAATCATTAAATGTGATTGATCGGGAAGCTTTCCATTACTGAATATGATATTGAAATGGTTCTTATAGAATTGAAATGCGAGATTATAAATATCCTCGTTTGTTGCTTGTACCGCCCGCCCAACTCAGGCCCTGAATACCCGGACACCTTCTCGAATATGTTAGAGAGTATCATAATGGAAAATAAGGATTTGATTATTCTTGGTGATTTCAATGTTGATTATAGCAGTGGAAATGATACAGCAATCCACTCCTTAGAATATCTTTTTGCTTTGCATCAGCTTATCCACAAACCAACACGTGTAACTGCATCTTCTTCAACTTGTATTGACCTGATTCTCACTACAATGCCAGATTCGCATATTATTAGTGGCGTTGGTCAGATTTCTTTAAGTGATCATTACATGATATTTACGTGTGTAAATTGTAAAGTAAATAATTCTGGTCACAAAATGGCCCGTTTCAGATCATATAAAAAAAATTGAGTTTGAGAAATTTCTGTACGATGTTAGCTGTTGTGATAGTCTTGTGAAGGATTATAACCTACAAACGGAATATCCATCTAATGACATTTTGTTTTCCTGGATGAATGCATTTAAAAAAAATTGTAACAAACATGCATCCATTAAATGTACTCGTGTTAAGAATAAATATAACCCATGGATAACACCAGACATTGTAGCCTCTATGAACAAAAGAGATTATCTTAAACGTAAAGCTAAATGTGACGTTTCCTTCAATGAATTCCGTAAACAAAGGAATACTGTACTGAGTGATGTTCGAAAGGCAAAGACTGATTATTATAAAACGGTTTCTATCAAATTTCAAAATGACCCCAAGAAACTTTGGAGTGAACTCCATCGAGCCACTAGTAATTCAAAATATGAAGATAATGCTCATAATGACTTAAGTTCTGATGAACTGAATGATTTTTTCATTAATATAGGCCAGGATATCACGAACTCCTTTCTTTAAGAATCATTATGTTGGAGAAATCCAAAGTGTCTTTGTGAATTGAAATTTATTGAAATTTCGGAAGATGATGTTTTGAAATTGTTATAAGAAAACTACCAACAAAAAGCAATTTAGATGTATTAGATATTGACAGCAAGTTACTAAATATTGCTGCGCCATTTTTATCAAAAAAACTAACTACTATTTTCGACTACTTATTAAAGAATGGATTTGTGTTTACCAACTGGAAATATGCGCGTGTCACCCCTATCTATAAGGGAAAAGGAGATAAGAGTGTTTTTTTCAAACTATAGACCAATTTCTGTTGTATCCCATTTAGCTAAAATTCAGGAGAAGCTGGTTCTAAAGCAATTTAGTTCGTATTTACTCCAGCATGATCTTATAACACTTGAACAATCAGCATTCTTGAAAGATCACTCCACTGTTACGTGCCTACACAGAGTAATAGATGATTGGTTTGAAGCATTAAATGCTCGTGAAGTTGTTAATGTCTGTTTCTTTGATATATCTAAATGCTTTGATGCTATATCTCACGAATTGTTACTTTTAAAACTACAATACCATGGTGTACAAGGTACAGAATTGCGCTGGTTTAAAAGCTATTTAAGTGGAAGAAAACAAGCTGTAAATGGTAAACTGTCTCAACCAGGTGACTATCGAAATTCCTCAGGGTGGGGTACTTGGCCCCACTTTTTTCCTTCTTTATATTAATGACAATATTCAAAGTGTATATGCTGGCTCATGTAGTATTTTTGCAGATGATGTAGCAATTTATACTACTGGTAAAACTGTGAATGAAGCTGAGTCTAAATTACAGATTTGCATCAACGAATTAGAGAAATGGTATAATAATAATAATAGATTAAAGATTAATATTGATAAAACTCATGTTATGGTTGTATCCTCGAGAGCTAATTGCAACCAAAATGAACTAAACGTATATTTAAATGGCACCAAACTAAAACAGGTTAATTCGGCGAGATATCTAGGTGTTAATATGATTGTCATTTGACCTGGCATGAACATGTCAAACAAGTGTGTAAAAGCCTTGCTTATAAACTTTTCTTATTACGAAGATTAAGTAACACGCTAAGCACGTCCCTGCTAAATACTTATATAAAGCAACCATTCAACCATGTATTGATTATGCATGCTCAGTGTGGGGAAACTGTTCACTTAAATACCGTGATTATATTCGTCGCATACATAAAAGAGCTTCCCGTATAGTGTCGAAACATTATGGTTCACGTGATATCAGCGTCTCTAAACTATTTAAAGATTTGAAATGGCAAACTTTTGAAACTAGGAGAGATTATTGTATTAATATGCTTATGTTTCGATGTATACATGGTAATGCTCCAGTAAGACTATGTAATGAAATTGAAATGTTCTGTGATAGACATGGTTTCAACACTCGCAATTCTGACTCACTCAATGTGGTCTTACCAAAACCAAATACGGAATTATTCAAGCAATCGTTTAGATATTCAGGCCCGAAAACATGGATTTCTCTCTCAAATGAAATGCAAAATCATCATACTCTTTCCTCTTTCAAAAATAATTATAAACGCACATTTTTCTGAAATAAAAAATTAAGTTTTACATGTTCTGGCCCGCCGTACTCTATAATCATGATAATAATTGATCACAGTTTGTTTCGATTTCATTTTATGTAATATATTTATATTTATGTATTTATTATATATTGTATATAAGATGGTTTCTCATGAATAATATTTATATGGATTATTGTATTCGTATTTGCACTTGTTATCTAATTCTAACCATGGGGATTCCTAACCGTCTTTATTGTTGCTATTTTATTTTTTCACTCAACAAATAAGATTGGTCATTCATTAACTTCTTTCAAACGAATTTCTAATATTGTGTTTTTCTTGCATTTTAAAACATTTTGTGTATTTTGTTTGATGTTAAGAATAGAATCCCATTGGTTAGAAGCGGAAATGTTTAATCATGTTAACAGGACATCGATGAAAAACAGCTTTGCTGACTCGATTGTTTCTTTTTTATCCTGTATAAATATGTCTAATAAATAAATAAATAAATAAATATAGTAGCTTCTCGATCTTGCACACGAACCACAGATTCTCTGTCCGCGTTGAGATTGCGAAAACTTCCTAATGAGATCGATGACGGGTAAATTGAACAGCAGCCACTACGACCCAGACCTTCGTCTACCATTTACTTTATTAGGAAACGGAAACCATCTTGAATGCTACAATGGCGAAAATCTTGGATTCCATCTTGAAACATAATGATAACCAAAGTTATTAATTACATTTTTTAATATCAACTCACATTTTAACGAAAGGCATTTCTTATATGATTATTAATTCTCTTTTGGGGATTTTAGGGATTATACCGTCATTTTGACGCAATCTTGGATCTCATTATGATTCCTGTCTGCTAAAGGACAAACTGGGGTTAGACGCCAATACCGTTTGGGCTAATGATTCAATACTAATTTCAAATGCCGCAGGCTATCTTGGAGGGCAGCTTCGAAAAATCGCTTGAACGCACCCTTACTTAATAAAAAGACAAACATGAAACGCTGAAAAAGATGCGTTTTGTATCATTCTACAAGATCACGGTCGCTAAAATTCGATTGAACGAACGGATATCTCAATCATGATAACATGACGTCATTATCGTGGCCTGTTCCGTCATGTTATTCCTTGTTTTCCTAATAACATTTACTCTCTCTGTTTTTTATTATGATATTCTTTGTTTTTCCATCTTTCATCTTCTCCATTATCTTTCCATAATCTATTCATTATCGTTTCCTCTTTCTGTCTTTCCGTAGGTAATTCTTTGTTTCTTCCTTTTATTCTTATGTTATTCTTTCTTTTTATCATTCTTTGTTTTTTTCCTTCTATTATACCTTTTTTTATGTAATTCTTTGTTTTCATCGTTCTATCATTTTTTCCCTACCATTCCTTATGTTATTCTCTGTTTTTTCATCTTTCATCTTCTCTTCTATCTTTCCATTATCTATTTCTTATCAATTTGTCTTTCTGTCTTTCCTAATGGTTATTCTCTGTTTTTTCATCTTTCATCTTCTCCACTATCTTTCCATTATCTATTTTTTATCAATTTTTCTTTTTGTCTTTCCTAATGTTATTCTTTGTTTCTTCCTTCTTTTACCTTCTTTTATGTTATTCTTTGCTTTTTCCTTTTATCACCTTCTCTTATGTTATTCTTTGTTTTTATCATTCTATCACTTTCTCTTATTTTATTCTTTGTTTTAATCATTCTATAACTTTCTCTTTCTATCTTTCCTCATGTTATTCTTTGTTTCTTCCTTCTATCACCTTCTTTTATGTTCCGATTCCAGAAAGCGCGCGCCGAAGTTGACCTATACTTCCTGGGTCAAACTGCGCAGTGTGATGCGCAGGTGATGGGCTCGAAATGAGCTAGAATCAGCGTTGATGAAAAATCGCTTGAACGCTCTCCCGTAGTAACCGTGTTTTGTAACGGCGTTTTGATTTGTGATTCATGTTTGTGATTCTAGCTTTAAAAAAATCGCTTGAACGCAACATATCAAGGGCGAAATCTATTGAACGAAAGAAATCAGAATTATATTTTTTATTCGATTCCTCGCGAAGCAAAGGATCTTGTTTGTTGTGTACTGTAGGCCCTTACAAGTCAACTTTTCACATTTAGTGTATTTAATGACTTATTGTAATACTGTATATTTTGATGTGTTTTAGCTCACGCACGGGGGTCTACAAACATGGCCGATGAAGTGTTGCACACGGAGGATAATCATTGCAAGCCGATTCTTGTAAATGGTGAATTGATGCCTACAGAGCCAGAGTACATGCCGTCGTTTCCCGTCTCATTGAAGGGTATTAAACGAAATTTCGTTTGCAAGTTAGCTGGTGAGTTTTAGGTTTATAGCGATGATCTTAACACTTATGATAATGTCAGCCCAACTGGTAGCCTGATTTAAAATATCATAAATCATTGGAGTGAGACCTTTATGAATCAGAGAGGAGTCAATGTCGAAACATTTTCAGACGTAGAAATATGCAATAGTAAATGAAAAATTGAACGAGGCGGAACAAAGGTTAGGCGTTATGAATCATGATTTGTTTTCTTCAAGTTTTCTCTCCCCCCCCCCCCTCCCCCTGTCTTTCTATTTTACTTTTACTTTTGCTTTCAAGTATATAGAATATGCTACAACATCAAGCATTATCCGGCTTTCGGCAGCCGCCCAGGCGTCAAAATCTAGTATTGAATATAATGTGATAAATTGTCCCGTAAAATTTGTACGGAATTGCGACAAGTCCCCCACATAATGATTTCATTCAAAAAGGCTTTTATCGTTAATATTTTTATTTTTTTCTTTAGCACCGAAAACTGTTTCTACGACACCTCCAACCACATCAAGACCTACACATTTCGGTAAGCAACTTACAATGCACTCACCCCCTCTCTGTCTGTCTGTCTGTCTCTGTCTGTCTGTCTCTCTCTCTCTCTCTTCCTCTCTCTTCCTCTCTCTTCTAAATACTTCCATTTCCCTTCTTTCTTTTCATTACCATGGCGTTTATGTTATCTTTACAGATCTTGAAATAGTAAGCAAAATATGTAATTATGTGGGTAAACACCTTTGGTAAATATTTCCCTTCTTTATCATTATTGTCATGGTAAATTTTGCCAAAGAACTTGATCCGCCCCTCATGCAATGGGGAACTTTGATAAGAGCTTCGCATCATTATTCTCTCAGTTTCAATTTTGTATATTGCTTCATCTTCTTTTATTAGTAGAGCAATTTATTGCCCACTATATAGGTCAACTTAACATTGTACTACCTTGACAAGTATACTTCAAAGGCCGTACGGCAGCCGCGGTTTGAGCTCAAACCTCCTTTTGTTCTTTACAAACCTGTTTGTAAAAAACGCGTAAAACGCGTCATAATATTATGACGTACGAAAACCAAGGTTTGTCGACAAACCTCCTTTGTGAATTCGGGCCAATAGAAACATTATTATACGGGACAGCCAATACTCAAGTTTTGACCATATTTCATTTGAATGAAT